GCCCTTCAGATGATGGAAAGATGGAAGAAGATGATGATGCGTTTGCAATAAAATGTAAAACATGCGTGATTTCCTTGTAAATGGCAAGTAGGACTAGGGTGAAAAGAGACTGTCCAAATACACTTTGAATGACCCTGTCAATTGTTGCTACAAAACCACTTGAAGTAGAAGGTAACTGTAAGAGAAGTTATTTGGAATGTGCAGCTCACAGGTACATGCAGGCTTTTCACTGCTCTGGGCCATCTTCTGGCCCAGACTGGACATGAAATCTTCGTGATGTGTGATTGCTTAAGATGTGAACCGATTGCTGGATGCTCAGACCTCCTGACTTAGGAACAGTTTCTTCTGTTGGTCGTCTCTGTGCAGTTGATAAGGCTCTGAAAATTTTCAGTGTCACAAATGTGGAAAGATAGATAGAGATGTATTGCTGCAAACTTTGAAAATTCTGTCTTCGGAGCCTGCCTTTTTCAGGTAGCAACCTGAAGTAGCCCTACTCACTGGAAATTACTCCTGTTGTGGCTCACTTGTAATTTATGTATCTATAAGTTTTTAATACTGTTTCTCCTCTCTGTCTACTTTCTGTCCTGCTGTGGGGAAAGAGGAAGTTATTGTTACTTTCAGTTAGAGCACAAGTTGTTTGAACTGCAGGCTTTAACTTTTTTTTTTTTTTTTTTTGATCTTGAGTATGGTAAAGCTCTGAAATACTTACATCTACAAGCAGCACGTCATAAGTAAGATCAAATTGTAGCTGCTTTGATGACAAGGGCTCTTAGATCAGGACCCAAGCCCAATTTCTTCTTGTATCACAGTCTTTTTCCATCTCTGTTGTGCAGATTCCTGATAACGGGACCTTACTGTTCTCCTGGAGGGTATTTCCCACCAGTTCTCAGGAAAGTTAAGATTTGTAACTGTCACCAGTCAAACATAAATTCGTTGTGCAGGCAACCACAAGCTGAAAGCTTAAATCATTGTATTTGGGTTTAGGTCATAATGCTTCCAACTGAGTGATTGTTTTGGAGCTTGTAAAAATTGCATCTAATGTGGATTAACCTCAGTTCTTGTAGGCAGTTTTCCTCAAGTCACTTGTATTACTGCTGCTGCGGCACGTGTGCGTCCATAGGTGTGAGATCACAGCCTATGGCTTCACTGCCTTCAGAAGTCAAACTGGTGGCATATGGTCATTTTTGCTTAGCAAGCAGTATAGATGTGTTTGTGTGACAAGGGGTCTGGCTGAAAGACAACTGAGAAAGTACAGAGTGTGTGTTACCAGCAGCAATAGTGTCGCCTGAAGGTTTTATTCACATGAAGTTAGAATGTCAGCTCTGTTGTTGCAGCACCTAACATGCCTGGTTCAGGGTGCGGGTCATTTAAAATTACTGTTATTGTCATGTTCTTATCCTTCCTGCATAATTTACATACTGGAAGCAAACACTAGAATTATTTTGGTGAGTTTTAAAGTTTTATTAGATACATCTTGTTTGTATTGTTTCTGCTTGGGTGAAGACATGGAATCCAAGTGGAAAGAACTCAAAAATATGAATCATGTTTAATAAAATTTAAGTATTTATAAATACAAATGGAAAAACTGTCTAAAAATTAAAATGTTTTGGAGTCCAGTGTCACAGTATCCCCTGCAGTCAAGAAGCACATATGAGAATGTTACATTAAAATTTAGATATTTCTTCTGTTGATTGATGTAACATTGCAATTGACAGTACTGATAATTTACAGAATTACATTACAGAAAATGTAATTCTTATTGCTGGATGGAGAATTTCTTGTTTTGTTTGGTTTCGTTTGGTTTTCTTTCATTAAAATCAGGTGACTTTATTTTCATTACTACTGACTGAAGGGTGAACTGTAAGTTTGGAATATGATGGTGGGACTGAGCTGCTAGCCCTGGTACAGACTGGCTAATCAAGGTTTATGTTAAATTTGCGTCTCAATCTTTACTTAACTTGTATTTGTACCACGTATATCCCCATTGTAAAGGAGGCTTAGTGTTTATAGTTTGCTCTCTGTTTTGACCTCATGAAGCATGCCGTGGTGTGCCTAATGTGACACAGTGATGTCAGATTATGTGTGATAATGCATGTAGATTTTGAACTTCGCATTCTACGATTACTTTTGCTTGCTTGACAACTTTATCTTTGTTAAGGTTCGTGGGGTGAAACCTATGAAATGCTGTTCTTTCCTTATGCTTTTGAATTAATTGTTTAGTATCTTTTTGTGTGTGGGCTAAAAAAGACTCTGAAAAAAACAGTAGCAACATACTTAAGCGTGAGCTTGTTGAGCATAGTGCAGTTGTCCTATCTGAGGCATTAAGTTTACTGTGGGCTTTTATTCCCTTAAATTAAATGCACATTTCAAATGTGGTTATAAGCCACCACCTGCTTTGAAACTCTGATCACATCATGACTAAAGCCAGACTGCAATGGCTGCTAGAGATTGTGCACATTGTAAGGAGCGTTCCCGGCAGTAATGAGTTTATGCACTGCTGGAATGGTATTTGTTAATGGCAGGGTATAGCGTTGCAGGAGGTCTAAGGCTAGTTGACTTGTCTATACTGATGAATCGTTTCTCTTCCAGCTCTGTCTCTGAAGATCTGGGTTGCAGACGTGGAGAGTTTAGCAGAAAGCATTATGGATCTGTGGAGCTTGTAAGTTTACATAGCCTGTCCTTTGATTTTAGCAGCTTATAATGTGGAGCTCACATCCTTTTAATTTCCAGGTAAAAAAATTGATCTAGTTTGGAAAATGTGCTTTCTAAGCTGGAATTGGAAGTTATAGGGTAGTAAAAAGAGGCTTCAGAATAGATATATTAGACCTGTGCTGCAAAGTATTTTTACTACCTTATTTATGAGTATTTCATCGTAACAGGACAGGAAGCATTATATAGATATCATGTTTACCCCCAGATGGAAACTGAGCCTTTTTTCCTCTTATATGCTGACGATTGCAAAATATTAGGGTAGTATTTGATGAAGTATTTGCAATTATACTAGTTAAAAACTGTGTGTGTTCGTATGTGTACATACATATGTGTATATGTGATTTTATGTGTACGTGCCTCAGAGCAGCGGGAGAGGGATTAAAATTAAAAGAACTAGTCAGAATAATGATGTTGAAAACTGTTGCCTGAAATATGTCAGTTATTCAGCATTTTCTTGGAATTCCAAGATTAAGTTGGCACTTCATTTTTCTAATATATAAATTTATTCTCAGCTGTGAAAATAGCAGTGTGTCAGAAGTTAAAATAATGTCACTCTGTATACAAGGCCATAATGAAATTACATAAACTTACTCTAGGAAAACAGAAGTGGGAAGGGGTAACGAAATTGAACTCCAGCTCTCTTGCTGTGGGTAGAAATCACTGATTTTCTACTAGCTATAGTTGTAATTTAAAGTTCTTGGATATCACACTTATTAATATATATGTAAATTGGGTGTAAATTGGTGGCTTGTTTGCTGGAAGTTGTATTGCAAGAACACCAGGTATCTTTCTTTTCTTTCCATACATTCTGAATATTAAATGTGTTTTAATCAAAAAAGCAGGTTAGCTGCCTTCTGCTAAGAGGCTCCTTCATTACTAGTACTTATATTCTTTTGCTGAAAAATAAAAATGTATGGGTAATTATAAATTCACAGTAAGCTCACACGAATGGCCCTGTCTTTTGGTTGGTTGTCTTTAAATTCTGCTAGTATTTTACGAAAGTGTGTCTTTTTATCTTTTGGAGTAGAAACGTATAAAAGTGCTTGTTGCCCTTTCAAATTTCTAAATGTTTAATATTGAACCTTTCTTGTTTAGTATTTTCCACAGCAGCATCTCAGTTACTCAGTTATTTCCAATTTATTTATTACAACACAATTATTTTGCCTCTGTACTAAACATTTTTTCCTATATCTTTCCCACTGGTGTAATACAACCAGTTGTCCATATAATTTCTCTTACAGTTTATACAAGGCACCAGGATGTGTTGGAGTTTTTGCCATGTTAGTTTATTCCTGACATAGCCTCATATCACTTCAAAGATAACTTTGTAAAATAAAGGGAGAAACTCACCAAGCAAAGGGAGAAAGTCTTATCCTAGAATAACATGGATTGCTAGAGGGAAACAAGGAATGATAGACCATCGCATTCTTGTTGTTCAGATCCCATTTCATAAGTTTGGTATGATATGTGACAATCTCATTTTTTACAGTTTTGAGAGGAGCAACGTGCGATATTGTTGGCAGCGTTCTCCCCTTCTCTTGTAGAGTTTCTAAGCAGTGTTTCCGAATACATCAGAATTATCACATTATCCTGTTTTACTGACTTCTCAAGAGCTTTTTTAACAACGAAGGGTTTCAGTATTCTGGGAATCCCTGGATTCCCTTATAAAAAGACCAAGCAGTCTTTCCAGAGTATTTATGAAACTGTTTGAAGCCTTAGCTATAAACATGCTGTATTTTCTGATGTTAATGCTGGAAGCCGACCAGGACATCCCCTGTAGGTTATATTGTTCGGTATCGTCACTGAGTATTGTTTGGAGTTTCTTGCTGCTCTCCATCTCCTGAAAACATCAATAAATAAAATGCAGTTAAAGTCTGCTAGTCCCAGTAATACTGCCAACAAGTAGAGTTTTAGGCTTAGCAAGGCTGAGAGGACAAGAATGATCACGTCTGTGAGAGCCATTGCTTTGAAAGGAGCAAGCTTCAAGATCAATTTCTGGAAAGTAGTCAAGTCCCTCTGTAGGCATTCTGAGTGTTGGCACAGCCAAAATCTGAGACAGATGAGCACTGGGATCTACCAAAAGGGTGAACAGCTCTCCCACTCATGCCTTTTTAGATTTATAATTGGGTCATTCCAAATCTGTAGCCAAATCAGTAATAGCTGTGCTGATCCCTTCTCTGTGGGTAGTCATATGATGCCTGGGAGAAGAAGAAACCGTAGTAAGCTTTGGTTGCTGATATTATTGCTATTTTTGGAACTAGAATCTCTTATCTTAAACTTTTTTATAGCTTATATCTAGTGATGCTGATGGAGCCATTCAAAGAGCTGGACGATTCCGTGTGGAAAACGGCTCCTCTGGTGAGGTAAGTGGCTGAAGATACTCATAGAAAGCTGAAAAAATAATTCAGCTTCAATTATTCTTCACCACTGAAACATGTATTGGCAGTCAGTTACTAAGGAAGAGGTCTTGAAAAATGCTAGATAATATGAGAATGTAAGAATCTAAGATGAGGAGGGAGATGGTGTTTTTCTCCCCCCTGAAGTCTAGCTTAGCTCTTTCAAGAGTATGCGATCTTGATAGTTTTATTTTTTAAGGGAAAAACTCATATTTTGTTTAGCTTTGGTAACATTTTGCTCGCCTGATCATGTTAGAAGAAAAATACCTATCTTAACCTCTGAATAACATTTTGCAGTCTCTAGTTAATCATTTTATATTGGTGTCCTATTGATATTAAGTGCTTTTAAGTTTATTCTTTGGTGTGATGAGGTTATAGCTTCATTTTTTCCCCCTTAGTTGTCTTTTGGCAGTTATGCTTATCTTTAAATAAGAGATAAAGAGGCAGAGCGGAGGCTGAGAGAGTCATTCCCTCCAGATTCCTGTGCTGTTAAACTTGTAGTGTGTCCCTGCAACCACTCCAGTGACTCTTAAGTTTCTACTTATGTTCGTTTTTTTATCTTCCTTTGCAAAACTTTTTCAGCTGTAAATATCATCTTAATATTGAAAGAAAGAAGACATCATATTCTTGAAATATATGCGAGGTCTTGGGAAGCTTGGATTGAACTAATATTAACAGTAATCTACTACTGATCATCTGTTTGCATCGGCACTGCAGAGTTTAAAGCAATCTAGCTATTCTGCATTGAATCTCTGTGGGGTCATGTGTTGCTGAGAGCTGGCCGGAATCAAGACAACACTCAATATGAGCTAAGCTTCTTGTTCGCTTTATTCAGGGTTCAGGGGGAATATATAGCATTCCAAGCCCTGCATGCGTTTACTTTCTAACATGATTGGTTTGTTACCTGCGTGCACGCGGTGTGCACGCGGCAGCAGCCAGTGGTCATTGGTTCTTGCCCTCTTGGCATGCGGTTCATATTTGCATACTCCTTTCTTTCCCCGTCCCGTTGAGCCTTCCTCCCCCTGCTGTTTACCAGTTCTTTTACTCCTTTCCTTTGCTGTTTTCAAGGAGAGTCCAAGGACTCTCAGGCCTCTTTATTGAAGTTTGGATTGTGCACGTAATGATGTCCCTGCTCACTGAGCCGTTCTTCCACAGTCATGTTCTGTACACTGTCTTTTTAGTTCAGTTTCATGCAGTTCAAAAGCTCATTAGCTTGTATCACAGAAAGATTCTCTGAGTGGGTGATGAATGGATATGGAGAATGGCTTTTTCTCTGCATAGCTTAGTTCTTAGTGGAAAAGGAATTGAGGAATGCTTGGGAATTTACTTTAACCCGCCAATCCCAAAACAACACTGAAAAACTTCGAGAGCATGCTCTGATCGAGTAAGAAGTCCTTGAAGATTGTTTTGGGAAGAACTGAGAAAATGAAACTTGGAGGAAGAGTTCTGTTTGTTAATTTATTTATTTTTTAAGTTTTAAAAACACTAGTCTTCAACTTCCACATTGAAATATCTTATTTTCAGAGAAATAATAAGCTATTACCCATAACGATGGTACAATAGGAAAAGATTGTAGTTACTTAAAAAGAAAAGGAAAGAGAAGGGCAAATTTTAATTTCAGCAGCACAACAACTGACTTCATAGTTCTTTGCTTTTTAAAAAACAGTATACAGCTAAAACTCTTCTGGTGAATCAGCCACTCTTGATTGGCTTTTGCCTATATTATATTCTCATTTTTTTCACTCAGCATTTGATCTAACAGTCTCCCAATTCTATTTCAGAATACAGACTACACTCCGCGTACATGGCACAGAACAGACGTGCATTTGGAAAACCCAGAGTATCATACAAGATGGTATTTCAAATATTTTTTAGGGAAAGGTAATTAGGTTTTTGCAAATGGATTGAAGTTTTAATTTCAATGAAAATGCAATGTAGCTTTGAATTGCTATTAATTAAATATTGAAAAAAAGTATGGTATTAATTTAGTATTAATAAGTTTTCTGTCCTGTACAGAAAACAAGTTCTCGTTTCATGTATTTTTAACCTGAAGCCAGAGAGAGGATGGGTTTCTGTAAACGGTGGAACCCCTGCTACTGAAAAGGGATGTTTTGAAACCCTTGTTGGCCTTGAAGGCTGCATCTGTCTCTTGGGTTTTTTTACACATCTGTATATAAATACATAGTTGTTTATGTAGATAAGTATATATTTTTACATATGAATGCATATATTTACACAGCTATGCATGTGTCTTTGTGTGCATGCACAAGCAGGTGTGTGTGTCTTCTTTATGGTGAGTAATGCTTCTTGTTTTTCCCAACAGTTCATCAAAATTATATAGGTACGGATGCAGAGAAAAACCCTTTCTTTCTGTCTGTTGTACTGTCTGACCAAAATAATCAGCGTGTTCCTCAATACCATTCAATACTTTGGAGAAAAACAGTAAGAAACAAATATTTAACTGCTGCTCTGACTTTTTTTTTTTGTTTGCTTGTTTGTTTTGGATCTGTTTATCATACACTATTTTGCTTTCTTTGGAATTCCAGTATTTAATACATATTTTTAATTTTATACAATAACAACATATAATTCTACCATAGTAGATAAACCCAAACTAGCTTTGTAGATAACATTATACTAAACTTCCTGACAGCAGTCTGTGGTGCCAGATGCTTTTTAATTTTTCTTACCTGCAAGTCTCTGTTATTTTTAGAAATGTTGCCTAAATTGTTCTTGATTATTTCCTGCAGTCAATTTAGGCAATGTCTTTATACTGCTTTTAGGATTTTCTTATACAATGTAAAGAAAATAGGCAGGTGTGATACTGGTTTCACTAATATTGTTTAATGAATTTTTTTTCAGCATTCCATAAGAGCTTTTCATCCAAACAATTGATTTAAAACTCTCCTATATGCATGCCTTTTTTTTTTTTTTTTTTTAAAGCTTGTAATGTCTGCTAGTTTCAGCAGCCCTCATACCACATGCCAGGGTAGTCAAAACTACCATGACTTTTCACTTTCAGGTCTTTTTCTTTTTCAGATCAGTAGTAAATATGGCTAAGTAAAACTAGCATGATTTTGTTCTTTTTTTTTTTTTTTTTTTTTGCTTAATTGTTATTATTAATATTCCTATTTGAATATACAGAAAAAGTCAGTATGTCCTGTAATATCTCCTAGCTTTTTTTCTTTACAGGGTACTCAGAAAATATGTCTCCCTTATAGTCCCACGAAAACATTATCAGTGAAATCTATATTAAGGTATGTGTTTATAAATAAGTTATCAGTTAACCTATTTGTCTGTATACGTTTTCCTGTAATTCAGAGCTTGTGTTGCATGGTTTTCGTGATAGATTTATAAAAACAGTAAATGCAGGTTTACAAATCTTAGTCATTGAATGCAGCAAAAAGTGGTTTCAAAGCCTGTTCTGGAATAGACAAAGTGACAACTTAAAATGGAGAAAAATTCTTGGAATTTTTCTTCAGCAGAGGGACTATTTTCAAGTTAATTGGAAAACAGGTGCTAAGTGGAGTGACATATCTATCTTTTTAAGTTAAAAGACAATAAACAGATCTAAGGAGCAGCAGATTTTACTCGAGAGGTGGTTATTATGTGGCCGTAGCACGAGGAAGCAAACAGGGAAGAAACCAAGAATTGTTTCTTCAGTTGATTATCTACATTTAAATCTCACTATGGGTGTGTTAGACACGCTGTCAGTGAAACCAAGAAAATTCTTTCCCCCAGCCAGAGTCTGTATGGGAATGCTCATACTCTGTCCTGCCTCATTTGTGTTGGAAGGTAATATGAGGTGAGCAAGCCCAACACCATTTCTATTTCTTTCAACATTATAATCAGCTGAAATGTCAGGGCACCTGTTTGCAAAGTGTTCATTCAAATTTAAACTGCAGTTTTAAGGTCTAATTGTGAGCTGTCTTTTCTCAATTCCCTCACTGACAACGTCTTCAAATGCATCTTCTGTAAGGATTATACATCCTCTAGAAACCCATAGAAAGTGCCTTCATTTACTGAACCAAGTAGTGTGTACCAGATAAATGGGCAGCCTGCAGGTCTTCAAAACCTTTCATCCGTATGGAGTACAAGCAGATGTCTCTGTCTTGGTTGAAGCTGTTCCACTGGATAGCACTGTCAGTGCTGATGTGAGAGGAGAGTTCTGGGAATAGGGCATGTGTTGTGATGTGAAGTCGGTACCACCAGATCTGGATTTTCCTGCAACTGCACAAGATTTCTGAGAGGTCCCAGACCACTGAATTTGCCAGAGAAGCTAGCAGGCCATTGAGCATCACTTCTTAATTCTGATTTCCTGGGCTGTCGCTCTGGTTTGGAGTGTCAAGATGCTGAGTTAGAAGCACTTCAGATCTCTTTCATCTTCTTCATCAGGATGAGCTAAGTCCCCTCTTCTGACTTGTACAGCACTGGCTTGAGATTGTCAGCACTGCGTGCTGCACCTGCATGAGCACCTGATCTTCCATGTTGAACCACCAACCTCTGAAATATCTCTTCCTAATATCCCTTTCTAACCCAGCCTCTCCCTCCACTCTCACGCACAGATGCATTTTTGGTCAGGCATCCCAGAGTGGAGAAACTTTGTCTTCCGTTAGCTGGGGTCATACTTCTTTGGCTGAAACACCCTATGTTCATCCTGTGATGCTGCTGTATTCTACAGAGGAAAATGCAGGCTTTTGTCCGACCTTGTTCCCCACTTCTCAAGCGTCTGTGCCACCTGCGATCAGCTGGATAAATGTTGTCTCCTTTTGCCCACTTGGGCGTGGACTAAAATCTCTTCCCTGACAATTCTTTTGCTTCTACAGTCCCCGAGCCTTCCCTCAGGCCTGATTGATGTTCGTTTAACATTTCGCCCTGCTCACAGCCAGTATGAATCTAGGTATAAACTGTCTCAGATAATTTTGTTTACATTACTAAACTCATTTTTTCTAATTAATTGGAACATTTTAATCCCTTTCAAAAGGAACTAAAGCAAATCCTGTCTGCATTGTGATTTAGCATAAGCAATGATGTAAAGGTGCGGGAGGCTTGACCTCCCTGGTAGTTCACTGTGCCCCAGACAGACTTAATTTGACACCCCGTGCCATGCTGCACAGTTCCATAAATTAGCATTGGGGAAAAAAAGTTGGGCAAAAATAATAGTAAATGCAGAAACATGAGTTAGGAAAAAATACTATAAATTAGATATTTTTGTTCATTGATGCAGTTGATCTGGCTTCTTGTTTAAATACTTTTTTCTGTTCTGTTTGTGGATCTTTGGCATATGAATTTGATGCTGAGCTGCTCACTTGTCATTTGTCTTGCCTTGTGTTATTTTAGAAGAGAAGCTTACAAAATGGAATAGGTTATTGAGTCCTCCTAAAATGCTCAAAATGGTTATGTATAAAGCCAAAGTGAAGGATGATGGGTTAAAGTTCTGTGCTTTACAGGAAAATACAGTAAATTTAAATCTTACCTCCATGCAGAGTCTTCCTAATTTCTGTTTTTAAAATCCAGAAGAAGTTTAGGAAGTCTTGGAGGTTAGTCTTGTGGGAGAGAAATGTCATTCTACAAAATGTTCTACATAAGAGAGGCTCTTTGAACAGTTCCTTTTGTAACCGGTTCTAACTGCAACCAGTTAGTGGCTTAATGTTGAAATGTATACTTGGGCTTCGATAAAGCAGTATTTCATTTTCATTTCAGTGCTATGAGTCTTGACAAATTTGAGAAGAGCCCAAGGGAAATTTTTCATCCTGAGATACAAAAGGTAGGAGGTGACTTCTTTTTTTTTGTTTGGCTGTTTTTCTTTAATATGTTCTGTAAAAATAAGTCATTAAGTATAAATGCCATGAGTTTGTTTCTTTAAGTAGCAGGATAATAATGATGAGTAGGGTTACATGGTACTACAAAGTAAACTGTCCATCAGTTGAACTGGCCTCTTCAAAATAAAACTTAAATATACAAGGATGTTACATTTTTATTTGTGTTATCTTTAATACCAGTGTGCTAAAGATATTGTTTTGTTTACAGGATTTATTGGTTCTTGAAGAGCAAGAGGTAAATGTAAACTTACTACTCCTAGCTCACAGACCTTTTCAAGGAATAGTGCTTTGTATTTGAAATATTGGGACTGATGTGCTTGTGACAACTTAGAAATCAGTTGCTTATTGCAGTAAAAAGAGTAGTATTTCTTTGCAACATAGAAGATTTTAAGAACCAATTTAATATATCATACTAATAGGTCATCAGTTTAGTAAATCATAAAACTCATAATCTATGATAAAAAGTAAATTATTAGGTATCCACTACTTGAGCAGGTAATGGAGTTGGTATGAAACATATATTCCCTTGTGCAGGATGTATACAAAGGTACGTATATAAAAGTCCTTAGAGAAAATATTATTTTGGGTCTTTTGATTGCTTTATAGTGTAATGTTTTGTTTTATTTCTCAGGGATCTGTGAATTTTAAATTTGGAGTCCTTTATGCTAAGGATGGGCAGCTTACAGATGATGAAATGTTCAGCAATGGTGAGATTTTCACTTTTTTCATAATTGTTTTGTTCATTAAAAAAAAAAAAAAAAGATTGCGCCTGCACATTGAAGCCAGAAGAGAGGTGATGATTATGTGAACATTAGTATTGTAGGTTTTCGTGTTCATGTTGGGTGAAAAATTGTAGCGTAGAATCTTCTATTTCTATAAAAGGTTGCTGTAGGAAACCTACTATTACACCTTGGGAGATATTGGAAATTCTTTTCTAGAAGTAGATGATACAGTGCTAAGATTTAGAAAAAGGGAGCAGTTGAAGGAGGCAACTCGGGTTACTTGCTAAAAGTCACTGTTGTTTCTAGTTCTTTCACTCTTACATTTTTGCAGTATGATCACATTCTTCTGTGCACTTGAACAGTCTTGGAGTTAGCAAAGAGCTCACTGTTTAATGTCACACGATGATGCCTATTCTGCAAGGCTGGGATGCTGTTCCTGTAAAGGTAGAAGGCTCGGATGACATGAGAGAAACTAGTTCAGATGAAACTTTGGGCCTTGTGTCCTGGGAGCTGGACCTGTTCCTGTATTTTCATTATTTTCTATTACTGTGTGTGCTTTTCTGTTGTAACATTTCTCCCTTCCGCATGTAGAAACAGGAAGTGAAAGCTTTCAAAGATTTTTGCATCTCTTGGGTGACACAGTTACTTTGAAAGGCTGGACAGGCTACAGAGGAGGATTGGACACTAAAAGTAAGAACTCACCTGAAGCAAAAAAGTGTGGGGACTGCAGTATAAATGTTTTCACTTATTGCATGCACATATTGTATATATTGTAGAAATAATACAGTCCCAAAACAGACTGCCTTATGTGCATGCTAAATGCTCTGCTTCACTGGGAAGAAGTCAGGTTAGCTTAAATCACTGGTATGGAATGCAGTTGAAGAAAAGTATTTATATGACCTGTATTTTCAAGGTGAACTGTTGTGGTTTTTAATTGGAATGGGGTGAAGAATAAACTGTCACGTTACTTGCTTCATGATAGTAGGGCGTCACAGCTTGAAGAACTATGTGTGATTTTAGGATGCTAGGTGAAGGACATAATAGGTTTTAAGTGTGTGGCTATGCAGATTAGGTTGCAAACTCGGGTTTGGACCCATGTAAAACATGCAGCATGGACATTCTCTAAAATGGATCAGAAAAAAGGATGACTAAAGAAGGTTTAGTAGGACCTGAAATATCTTTTGATCTTTAGAAAACTTAATTTTGCTGAGAATGTTGTCTTCCCTTGCAGATGATACAACAGGAACCTCTTCCATCTATACAGTGTTTCAAGGGCATGAAATTATGTTCCATGTTTCAACCATGCTACCATACTCTAGAGAAAACAAGCAGCAGGTACCTGGTTCTCTCTCTGTCTCTCTACCCCCCTTAGTATTTTAGAAATGTAAGTCTTAAGACTTTTGCTATATTTTTTCCTCAATATTATACCTAATGCTGAAAATTTAATGATGTTTGTTAGAAGATAACACATGACATTGTCTTTAGTATAGTACAAAAGACACTTGCAAAGAAGGTCAAAATTGATTGACTGAGATGTGATGGAGTATTATGTTATTCAGATGACTTGTAGAGCTTCGCTGCTGCAATTACCATTACCTCAAAGAATTTAGGAAGGTTGGAAATTAGACCTGTGTGTGCATTGTCAGAATGCTCACATATGTAACACACAACTCGGATAGCAATGCATGTAGCTTGAAAGAAATTCCCCATGTGAGCATAGTAATGGCAAGCTTTGCATTTGCTCTAAAGCACTGCTGTTGCCCTCTCATAGGTTGACTAGGTGGGTTCTTGGGTACTAGGTCAAATGTGCTGTCATCCATTGCTCCAACCTTGCTATATGTTATATGATGAAAAAGCCACTTTATAAGCACATACGTTTACTTGTACATCACACATCCATAATTGATTTACCTAAAATTGCTCACAAATTTCATGTGTTACTATTTTCTTATTTAAGCAATAATTATATACTATGTATTATTACAATAAAATATTTAGATTATGTAATTATATTGTCCTTTTGTATTTCCATGTCAGTTTTCTCATGCTTTTGCCTTGGCTTGATGACAGGATGTCCTGGTTTTGGCTTCAATCATATTGACGGTAGTTTTTGTGTTTGCAGTTTAGGAATATTGTTTTAGCATTCTCTCACAGAATTGTTAAGGTATTTATTTATATCTTTTAAGTCATTGTCTCTCTCTCTTTTTTTTTTTTCTTTTTTCTTTTTTCTCTTTTGAAATTTTTTTTTCCAGGTAGAAAGGAAGCGACATATTGGAAATGACATTGTCACTATCGTATTTCAGGATGGTGAAGAGTCTTCTCCAGCATTCAAGCCATCCATGATTCGGTCTCATTTTACACGTATCTTTTTCCTTACATTTTCTAGTGGGTTTTCTTTTTTTAAGGTCAATATTACTTTTAATTCTAAACCAAGTCTTTCCTGCATGCTGTTTATGGAAATTAAAACTATTTTAGAAAGACCAGCTGCATTATTCCTTTCTTTGCCTTCAACTGCTTGACTAGGTGTCTCTAAGTCTGCCTCATAAAACAATTTTTATGTTGAACCATTTAGAAGACAAGGTCATAGCAAGAATGTGATTATTAAATAGTATTTTTATTGAAGGCATTTATTTGGACCACTTCACAAATTAAATTTCATACGTTTTCATAAAATATAAATTCATAAAAATATTTGTTAGTGATGTGGATTAATTTGGCATTAGCTAACGAATATTGCTTTTTAATGTTTAGATGCTATTTATTTTAGGTATTTCTGTATTTTAGATCAGTGTTTCCCAGATCTTTCAGATGATAAACTGTATATTTTTGGCAGCCTGTGGTTGAAAACGTGGTGAAGACAATATGATTCCAAAAACCGGCGGCCAATCACTTCACATTATCATGATGTCCCACTAGTGGTCCATATATCCCAATCTGGCATCTCTTAGGCTAGATGGAATGGAATGAAGACACATGGATGAAAAGAAGAAAACTCTTATTTCTGTCTATGCTCTGTTGCTGAGTTTTTAAAAATGATTGCAAAACTTATGACTTTTAAACCTAATTCTCAGGCTAACTGTTGTTAGAACTTTCTTACTAGTTTCATCCATGGCTGGTCTTACTTTTTAGATTTAAACTCTTAACATTAACCTGTTTTCCTCTAAATGTAAGAAGTGACTAAAACAAAAATAATTCTGTAATTAAAAACAAAAACTTTAGATATCAAAGGAAACTAGATATTGTTAATAAGAAACGTTTACCAAGTCACTGTACCTCTTCATCAGAGTGTCAGTAAAAAAGGAATAATTCTTCCATTGTTGCTGTTAGGAGGACTTTTTATGATGTGATTGATACACCCCACTCTTCCATTGTTGACAAACATTTTGAGATTCAGCTGTCCTTCGTGTTATAATGATCTGGAGAGGCAGATGTGCCCTAAATCTATAAGGGCATGTTATCATTTAGGTCGTTTTAAGTAATCCATATCTGGTCGATGGAGTCATATTATCTTCCTGATATTTTCAGTTGACAGTAACCAGGGATAAAGGTGTCCACAAGAAAATGGGGGGTTGACACTGATCTGTGTCAGATGTAGTAAATCTCAAAGCTCATTGAATCTGTACTAGCACTTCATACTTACTTTCTCATGTACTGTCACACCCCTTTTTTGTTACTTCTACAATGAGAAAAATTAGCATAAAGTTATCCCCCTCTGCTGTCCTATACAGCAATGACAGCTGCTGTAAGGGTTTGTCATGTGTCATCTCTCAGGTAGGGCTGAATTACCCAAATAAAGGCATCCAGCACCAATTTAGCTGTCCCAACATATCTGAAATGTCTGCACAGGTCTGGCGGTTATGACTCTGGGCCTACAGGAGATCTGTGCCCCTTTTTTGGAATAACAGCTGGAGACTAGGCAATATACTATCAAGCATCTTAAATAGCACTGGATGCTTATGCGGAAATATATGAATTACATTGTAAAGTCTTTTTTCTTGTACAGTCTCTGATAGTGCTGATCACAGCTATTGGCAAAGGTCTCTTCGTTCTATCTGGAACAAACCCATACAGACAGTGACGTTATTCAGACTTATTTGACACCATTTGTGAGGACTGAAAACTTAAGAGATGTTGTTAAGGAACCTCTAATCGATTCCATAAAAATATCTTGCAAGACAACCATAAGGATTTCTCTGATTTTTTTATTTCCCTCCGCCCCCAGATTTGCCCAAAGCTATGAATCAAGACTGGTAATACATTTTTGTGTACTTGCACTTTAAATCCTCCAGTTTTCTTACAATTCTGTGAGCTAAATTATTTAATTGGAATCTTTCTCTTCAGTTGAAGTTTTGGTATAAGCAAAGTTCAGAATCAATACCTTTTTATGAACTAAAAGAATTTTTAATCACAAGTCTATCAAACACACTCAAAACACAAAACTATGTAGCACGTTTTATGCTTTGTATCGTGACAAGAAGTCTTTATTTGTGATATTACCTCTATTTAAACTGTTGCTCAAACAAAAAAAATTTTATGGGACCTCCTTTATAAACAGTAAAATATGTATAATCTAGAATATTTTATATGTTTTACCTTTATTAAATCTGTGATCAGCTGTAAGAAAAAATATATATTAAAATATATGTGAGCTTCATTAGTACTGGATTAACTTCCTTAATTGCATAGCAGATATTTTTGCCTTAGTGAGATACAATAAGCAGAATGATAGTTACAGGTAGGTGCTGATTGTAACAAATAACTTCACACTGAATTTCTGATGGTTTAGAGATAACGGGAAAGCATTTTATATTGTCCACCAGTCTGTGTTCCAGGAAGCCAAATGAACTAATGAAACTGAAAAGTAATATGTATCTGGATGCAGAAGGCTGTAAACTGGCTATGAATACGTTGCATGTTTCTAACCATCAGAAAAATGAAATTCTGGAACAGGCATAAGCTAAGTGGGCAAAACAAAACAACTTTTTAGATTAAATGTAACAAAATGATGGAAGATATGCCTGGAACATTCTGACCTGGTGAGATCAGTGGTATAGTGAACTACATGTATGGTGAAAGTTAATTAGATGGGATGTTGTGGTAGCCATGGGCTGCGGATCCTTACAGGTCTGGGTTTGGTTGTAACTAAGCAAACCAGTTCATTTTTAGGGATCTTAATAGAGTAACTTGTACAGTTGGGCATCATGTACTTAAAACCTAGTGGAATTTTGCTGGTAAATAATATGTTCTTCATCTGCTTTTTAGTGAGCCTTGGAACCCTTGCGCTTGGAGGCATATGCTGTCCAAGTCTGAGTCTGTTAGGTCTCACCAGAATCTGAAGAGCAAGCATTTCTGCAGCCTTGTGCCTAGGCTTTAATGAACAAAGTGCCTTTAACCAAACAGTTAATCCCAACTATTGTCCTGAGATTAATGGTGAGATGCCAGAGATATCTGTCAGTCTTGGAAAAGCAGAGTGGCAGTGGGATATCATTGTCCTGGCCCGTGGGAGAGATTCACCTTGGGCTTGAACCAAATAAGCAGTAAAGAGAAATTGAAGAGCCACCCTTTAGCTAACTGTGTTTGCTGCAGTTCTCAGTATAGCACATAGATTTGCCGCTGTTATTTCTCCCTCACAGAGTACCAGCAGGGTCTGTAGTGATCCCCTGTCTATTGAAAGTATGCGAAGTCATATCACAGAATCACAGAATGTTAGA